GTGCAGAATTTGAGGTCCTGGTTCCTAAGCTGTGCTTGGCAGGATGCCCTGGGCCAGCTGTGGGCAGGAGGGCAGTGTGGGCCCCTGAAGGTCACCCCACAACCCAAGAAATACTCAGCTTTGTCCTACTGGGCTCCAAGAAGGGCCCTAGGGCTGCGGCCTGTGGCTCTGGGTGGGGCACAGGAAGTGCCCTGTTGGGCTCACTGGGGCAGCATCAGTGGCCTGCCCGGAGCCCTGGCAGATGTTGGGCTGGGTGCCAAACTTCCCGGCTCTGAGGACTGGCCAGGCGTCCCCCAGCCCACAGCCTGGAAGGCCGGCTCCCGAGGCAGTCCCAGCTCCTTCCAGCATCCGGCTCCGCGACTCCCGAGCAGGGGGTGTCAGCAGTGCCGCAGCTCGCGGGGCCTCTGGGGCCAAGAAGGGACTCCACCAGGACAGGTGCCGGTCTGGGCCGCCTGGAAGCACAGGCCGCGAGGCTAGGCCCGTGGGCACAGCAGGGTCTGTGAAGGGCGGCCAGTGGCCTGGGGCTTTCGGCCTCGGGGTGGACACAGGGGACCCGAGGGGAAGCGACCTGGGGCAGGGGCTGGGAGGTGGCTCCTCAAAGGCTGAGGACGTCCTGAAGTGGACCAGGCCGCGTCCAGCCTGTCCCAGCTGACCCGCGGCCTGGGGTCCTGGGGACCACCTGTCCTTTTTCCTCCAGGCGAGGAAGCCGAGACGGGCGTGAGCGTGTGGACCTCAGACTCCCTGACCCGTGCCCCCCATGAAGCCACCTGTGAGCTCCGGGACTGGGGTCCTCACCTGGCCCCGCCACGAGCCAGCTGTGCCCTGGCCGTGTCCCTTGCTGAGCCGCGGGGCCCTGGGAGCTCCGGCAGCACTGTCCCCTCCTCCTGCCCGCCTGCCCGGCTCCCTCCTGCTCTGCTGGTGGCAGGTGCTCCTGGGACTGAGTCCCTGATGCCCCCAGCTGGCCTGGGAGCTGCAACAGAGCAGCTGGTTCTAGGTTGGGGGGCTAGTCGGGCCAGACCCCCAGGGGTGGGTGTGGCCTGTGGGATGCAGGTGGCCGTGATCACTTCTGCGGCTTGTGTGGACTGTTCAGGGCCCCCATCTCTGTCCCCTGTCACCCTGGGGCTGTCCGAGCCACAGGCCCCTGTGCCAGTTTGAACACACTTTGTGGTGGGTAGGACAGAGTGGGCTGGCATTCTGTGAACACGGACTCCAGCCTTGAACTTGCAATCCTCCTGCCTCAACCTCCAGAGTCACTGGGAATACAGGTGAGTGCCGCCGAGCCTGGTGAATATCAGATTTTATTCAATAAACCCAGAGCATTGTTCTATCCTCAAACCCCAATTGGTCTTCATGAGTAAACAGCCCCTGAGGGATGGCCAGTTCCTAAGAGTCTCAGTGCTCCGAAAGCCAGTCCAGCCCCGGGAGGCCTGCGGGCAGGGTGTCACCCMGTGGACGCTGGGGGATGCCAGGTGGCCCAGGCCCAGGTTCACCCCTGGAGCCCAGACCCTGGCAGCTCGTGTGGGAGAGGGGGAAGCCCCATTCACCGGGCCATGGCTACTGCCACCCCTGCTGGCCAGGCCCAGGCCACCATCGTCCACAGAGCCTCYGGCGGCTGGCTCCGCCAGAAGTTCTTGAGCAGCAAAGCTGCCTTGAGAGCCCTTTGGCTGTTCTAATAAAAGTGGGGGGGCCAGGGATGTGGCTTATGACGGGGAGCTTCCTGTCATGTGCGAGGTCCTGGGTTCCATCCCCATTGTAAGAAAAAGAAGCCTTTCTTCTTGCCAGGTGCAGTGGCCCCTTGCCTGTAATCCTAGCGACTCAGGAGGCCCAGGCAGGAGGATCACGAGTTTGAGGCCAGCCTCAGCAATTTAGGGAGATACTGGGAAACCTGATGTCTGGCCCACCTTGGGCTGTAACATGGACATCAAGTAGGGTTACAGGCTGAGGCTGCAGCCGGGTCACCACGAGACTTTATTACAGACAGGAACCAYGGGACGCCCAGTGCACAGCCCCTGCCGCTCATGCCCCCCACTGTGCCCTGCCCACGGGGTGCCTGGCTGGCCTGCAGAGTTCCTGCACAGTCTCCAGCGCATTGAAGGCCATGTGACAAGCTGCCCCTCAGGCCTCTCCTGCCCTGTCCCCTCAGGCCAGACCCCAGGCCCGGGTTTGCCGAGTCTGCTGCCACCTGGGCCATTCGGACTCGGGGCAACTTGTCTGCAAGCAGATGAGGAAACGGAGGCCCTGGGGAGCTGCGGGAGGTCACCCGGCTCCAGGTTTGGCGTCCTGACTCCTACAGGGGACGGGGATCTGTGGGGGCAGCAGGCCGTGCCTGGGTCCCATCTGCCCACCCTCCTCCCTCTCCTGCCAGGGCCCCAAGTCCCCGGTGGCTGTCCACGTGGAAGGCAAATTCCCCGAATCACTGCTGGAGAGAGGACACCGTCTCCCACCCGCCAAGCCACCAGTCGCCTGTGTGGGTGAGGGGGGGTGGCGGTCAAGCGAGGGACACCAGGACAATGGGCACCGCCAACGTCACCTTCATCCCTGGGGCAGAAACCCCGTTCCTGGGCAGCTTCAGGGAGCACAGCTGGGGGACTGTCTCCTGGCCATGCTGAGGCCACCAGGTGTAAACCAGGGTCCTCCCACCCTCTGCTCTTGGCRAGCCCAGGCCACCAGCTGAGTGGCCTTTGGCCTCATGCTCTGGGATGGATCTGAGAGAAGCAGGGGACCGGGCTGAGGCCCAGGCTAAGGCCCCAGAGCCCGCGGGCTTGCAGAGGACATCTCCACAGTCGGTGGGAGTCAGCGAGCCAAGCCCAGGTCCCCGTGGAGAGGCATGGCTTGGCTCACCGCCTTCACCAAGGAAGGAAGGAAAGGGGAGGGAGTTTGGCTAGGTGACATCCTGGGACATGGGCAACTGCCAGGCCATCAAATTGGGCCCAGTGGGGCAAGGTCTGTGTGCCATGACTGTGGGTCCTGGTGACCTCCGCCCACACCAGACAGTGGGCCTGGTCACTCACCCTCAGGCCCTGCGGTCTCTCAGCATGCCCCGGTTCCTGTGATCGCTCCTGTCTCAGGGGTGGCCATTTGCACGGACAGGAGACTGTGGGCTCTTCAAGGCTGTGTCCCAGGACCGTCTGCTCTCTGCCAGCAGGGGACATGGGGATAGCAGGTTGCTGCCCTGACATGCCTCATTGCAACGGGCCTTGTGTCCATTTGCCAGTCCCAGGAAGGCCACCTCCCCTAGGGGTGCCAGCCCTGGCCTGGTGCTCTGGGGAGTGACGGACCCCTGCAGGCTGCCCTCACCTGTTCCTGCTGCCCCTCCCCCTGCTGCCCACCGGGCAGAGCTCCAGCAAGTCTGAGCCGCAGCCAAGCCTGGCACGGGCAGCCGCGCCGCCCGCCACACACATCTGCGACTCCATTAGCACGGCGCTCAYGGGGGCTTGTCTGATGACACATCAGAGAGCGCACGTGCCTAGGCAGCGCTGGCACGGTGAGGCTGGCCCGGCGAGGCTGGCAGCCGAGGCCGGCTCCACTGGGGCCATGGGAGAGCCCCGGGGATGAGCTGCGGGCCCGCCCGGCCCTGCCACAGGACAGTGCTGGTGCCCGGTTCCTGCAGAGGGGAAGCCACCTGCTCTGGCGGCTCCAGCCCCGCCCTGGCCACGCTGAGCTGCTTCCCGGCTGCCTCTGCCTCCAGCTGATGCCCAATGGGCAGCACCTGGCCTTGTCCAGGACCCGGGGCTTTGGCCACGCAGACAGACGTGCCGCTGACATTCCTGAAGCCGAGCCAGGCAGAGTGAGGTGCTGTCCAGGGCCAGCGGCCAGGCAGGACCCTCAGGTGAGCAGGGAGCAGGCCACGCTCAGGTCACGGGTTCAGGTGCCTCCTGACGGAGGAGGAGGAGGAGGAGGAGGAGGAGGCGCCGGTGGGGCACAGGCTGGCTGCCGGCCGTCCCGAGGACCCCCACTAGGTCCCCCAGGCAGGAACTTGGGTGAGCAGCCCTGGGGCTGGTCCTGTGCCAACACGGGGTCCCAGGGCTCGGGCAGGCAGCTGAGGGCTGGAAGCCCAGCCCTGGACCTGGAGAGTGCTGCCRGTGCTGGGGGCTGGCAGGCAGCGGCAAGGCGCGCGTCAGCTGCCCCCAGCTCCCCTGGCCTGCCTCCAAGGTCCATGAGACCCTCCAGGCCACCCGACCCTCAGCAGGGCAGGGCCCAAAGGGCGACCTTCCTGAAGAGCTGCAGCCCCGGGTGGGATGGGCCCGGCCGCCARCCAGGCAGGAGGAAGGCGGGAGGCTGTGAGGGAGGCTGGAGGGAGGCTGGGGGGAGGCTGGGGGGAGCCAGGTTGGGCCTCCTTTGAGCCTGGAGGAGACGACTGGCACCGCAAGCCCAGGGCCTGGAGGCCTGCCAGGGGCACAGAGTGCGGTCTCAGCTGGCCCCTACCTGGGTCCCTGCAGGCAGCAGTGCCCAGCCTGGCCTGGGGCATGGCAGGGCTCCGTTTCTGGGGAAAGGTGGCAGATGCTGGGAGGGCCTCGGGCCTCCGGCCTGGGCTCAGGACAGCGCCCCCCACTGGTCTGTTGGAAAGGCCGTGGAGCTGGAGCCCCTCGCTCTCTGTGGCCTCATTGCCAGGGGTTCGGGCAAGCAGGGGGTGCCGCCTGGGGGCACCGTCCAGAACCAGGGCGCGCAGCGGACCCCACCGACCCTGCCGGGAGGGGTGGACACAGCACAGGAGCCACGGTGTAGGCGGCAGGATTTTGGGTGGAGGAGCTCACCAGGCCCCATCAGCAGAGGCTGCCAAACAGGGAGTGGGCGGGCAGGGAGGGCAAGGAGGTGTGTGTGACCCCGCCCCTGGGAGTTAGGGACGGGTTGGCCTGGCCCTCCCCTCCTGGAAAGCAGGTCAGCCATGCACAGGTGGGCAGAGAAGGTTCTCAGCAGCAGGCAGGGGTGGACACAGGTAGGGGTAGGGGCAGCGCCACGGGGTGTGGCTGGAGGACACTCAGATTGAACACTGTGCCAGTCTAGTGGTCCTCCCGGACCGGCCGGATCTTCATCTCRGAAAACTTGAGTGAGTACTGCCAGCCGGTCCAGGAGGACCACTCCACGCCGTCGGCATAGGAGGCATGGGCGCCACGGAGGTACTGCCCATTGAGGTTGGAAGTGTGGCAGTTACGGTACCACCAGGCACCACGGTAGAAGGCAGCACAGTTGTTCTCCGAATGGTCACTGTCACGGTCCTTAGTGGTGAATCTCATGCCGCTGTGCTTCAGGAGGGAGTCACCTGCGCAAAAGTTCGCACAAAGGTGTGCACACGGGCCCAGGCGCGCCCAGGCGCCCTGCAGGCATGAGCACAGGCACAGACGCACTGCTCGCTGGCCACATGTGCTTATGACCCATCCCCTGACATGAGTGTGCACACATGTACACACACCCTGCACTCACACAGGTGTGCACGCTCATGCACTCCAGCCCCTGCACGTGTGCACACGTGGGGCCACCAGGGCGTCCCCAGGGGGTCTTCACGGCTCCTCCCAGCTCTGCCACGTCCCCTCTCCTCACACCCAGAGACGCAGGGCCCCGGCCCGGGATGCACAGCCCAGGGATGCGTAGGCCCTGGGAGCCCTGACTCCTGGTCTGGGCGCAGGTGCCTGGTCTGCAAAACAGGACTTGGAGGTGCTGACCAGTGGCCTTGACCCCGACCCCAGAGTGCAGAGGGTGTGACCGGCAAAACCTCGCCTCCCCGGCCCTGCGTAGCCTGGGGCCTCACCTGCAGTGCCCGAGTAGCCAGCCACCGTGAGCGGGTACCCGTCCTCCTCGGGGTCCACCGAGAACAAGCCCACCCCGAAGCTCCCGTAGCGGGCGTAGGCGGTGCCATTGTCAAAGTCCTCCAGGTCCACGTGCAGCTCATAGGCCGCCTGCGTGGTCAGGGCGTGGATCCTCTTGAGCCCTGAGGGAGGAAGAGAATGGTGGGAGAGGGCACGGGCTTGGGACGTGCCTCCCAGAGAGAACTGAGGGGAAACAAGAGCTGAGCTCGTGTTTGGTGAAGAAAAGGCAGCAGCCACCAAGTGGGTGCTATCAGCTCTGGGCTACTTCCTTCTTCCTGTAGGCCTGTGTCTGACAGGAGCCTGGAGACTGATGGTTTTCATGTTTGGTTTTCTCTGCTTGCTTTAAGTTGGGCTATGCCTCCCACTCTAGTGGATGGCTGGAAGAAAAACAGGAACAGTCTGGGGACATTGGCATCCTCCTCCCTCATCCCCAGGTGGCAAATGGAACTCGCACTGCTCATCTGTCCTCGGAGCCTCTGCACATCCTGCTCCCTCTGCCGAGGACCACTCGTCCCCACTCCTCACCTGGTRACCGCCTGTTCATTTCCAGGTCAGGAAGGCTGTCTGACCTCCTGTCTGGGTGGGCAGTCTCCTCTGCCAGTCCCAGGCCCCCCCGCAGGGTCCGTCCTTCGGGTCCCAGCTGCCTGTCCTGTGGGCTGCCCCACCCGGCAGAAGCTCCACGAGAGCGGCAAGTCTGTCCTGGCCACTGCCGGCCCCGGCATAACAGGTGCTCAATAAACGCTGGCTGAGCACAGGAGGCCAAGGTGCTGCCCGTCTCCTGCCATCTCCGAGGCTTGGCCTGTGTCTGGCCGGCCCCTGCTCTCCTTCTCCTGCTCCCCCTCCCTCCCTCCAGCCCCCAGCCCCTCCTGGGTCTCCTCACTCCTGATTGGCCAACGCCTTCAAGGTGTGCAGTGAGGGATCTGCTCAGCCCCGCCCCTGCCCCCCCCACCCCTGGGGGGGCCTTCCCCAAACCCACGGGGAAAGAAGCCTCTGGTCCCCTCTGCCAGGCCCAGGGGACGGGAAAGAGAGGTGTGACCTCCCGGGAGGCCTCCCGCTCCTGTGTCAGCCCTGCTCCTCACCCAGGGGCTGGCAGCTTTAGCACAGGGTCCCGCTTCTCCTCAGGGTGGGAGTCCTGGGCCAGCTGCCCGCCCCCTCCCTGACCCAGGGGCCTCATGGTGACTACAGCCACCACCTGGCAGGCAGGGCACACAGCGGAATGATTCAGAGGGCGGAGGGCGAGGCTGAGCCCCTCCACGCAGCCCCTCCCCAGTGCCTGGCCCCTCACACGCTATCCAGGGGATCTGCTGCACAGGGAGGAGAATGAGGCTCAGAGAGGCCTAGTGAGTGGCCCAGGCCACACAGCTGTAGAGGGGCAGAACTGCGATTTGAACCCAGGCAGAAGGACCAGACCCCTGGCTCTTTTTCAGACCTTGCCCAGGACGAATCCCCTGATCCAGGAACAGGGTGGGAGGGAACGGCCCCAGGGGATTCTGGGAGGTTCTCGCTCACCACCTCGTGGTTGCTGGTGCCCAAAGGCCATCCTTAGCCCACCAACGCTTTGGTGAAGTGACACTCATCTCCTGATGTGCCTTCCTGGTGCCCATGAAGGGGTGGGGACGCGGGGGCAGTGCCCCCTGCACCCTTCCTCCAGCATCGGACACCTCCTCCCTCAGCCTCTCTCCACTCGGCCTTCCGGGCTCTTCCAGCCCCGTGGATCTTCCGGGATCTCTGCCAGAACGGGAGTTGCTCCTCCCCGAGACCCGGGCCCTGGAGGGTGAAGGCAGCCCCAGCCTCCTCCCCCAGAGCTCAAGAGGACGGGGAGGAAACCAGAAACCCTCTGCCCCCAGGTCTCCCGTGGTCACCCAGGGGCATTAAAATTATGAACCTAAAACAAAATTCCAAAAATCATCCCCCCAAAAGTGGCAGAGACGTTTATAAAATGGGGGTGAGGAATCCGGGCCTAACATTCAGAGATATAAACACAAGGACTGTCGGGATTGACGACCTCAAAATCTAAAACTTCTAGGAAGTCCGAATCACCAAGAGACAAAAGAAGCTGATGGGTGACCCAGGGGCGGTCCCTCTGTATCATGCATGTCAGACACAGGATCAATGACCTTAATATATAAAGAGCTCCCATAACTCAATAGGAAAAGCACCCAGGAGAAGGTGCCCAGCCAGCACGCAGAAGCAGAGGGCGGCCACACCGGGAGGCTGAGGCCRCTGGACTTGGCATTCTTGTCAGGCCCCGGCTCCGCAGAACTAATAAAGGCCCCGCTTTAATTCCTCCCGCACCTTCTGCGGCTGCTGAYAGATTTCAATTAAGATGCCGCCGAGCAGCCAGGACACCAATGCAGCTCCCAGGTGGCGGGTGGCCGTGTGGGGACAGGCCCCTCCCTGGACGCCTTCTGCTTCGGCTTTGTACACCCCTCGGATGGAGTGGGCTGGGGCAGGGCCTCCCGGTCAGGGCCTCTCCACCCCTCCCGGCTTTTCATTGGCTCAGTCCAGGGCGAGGTTCAAGGGCAGGGCTGGGGCGCCCGACCCTACACACCCCGTGACAGGTGTCTCCATCTCCCCTTCCGAGGAAGGCAGAAAGGAGTCCCTCCTCGGTGGACGGAGGTGTCAGGAGGACACTCTGCTGGGCGGACAGCAGGCGTGCTGTGCAGGGTGGCACCATCCCCTCCCCGGGGGTCCCTCTGATGGGCCAGGTGGGCTGGCCTCTGCCCCTGCTCCTCCCCCTGGCCCCAGCTCCCCAGGCACGAGGGAACCTGCTCGGGCCCCGGAGGACGCCCCAGAGGTGTCTGTGACACAGGTTTCAGTGTAACAACAGCCACAGGAGGGGCTCAGGGGGCAGGCGTCCTGGGGGTGAAGACCCTCCCTGGGATGGTGGTGGCAGCTGCAGAGCCCGCAGCGGAGCCACAGAGCGCCATTGGGGCTGCGCAGGAGTCACGGCGACCCCAGCCCCTCCCCTGGAGCACGGGCCGACCGCCCAGGCCCAGGACCCAGGCTCGTGATTATTGGTGAGAAAGAAACTCCATAAGGTTCCCCAAAGTCTAGCATCCAGAGGGAGTTTAAAGGAGGTGCTGCACCAAGTAACGGCAATAGGATCACCAGAGCCCCCCGCGCACCCCTCATGCCAGGCACGGACGAGGCCAGCCAGCGGCTCTCACGCTCKGCCACCCCAGAAGGTCACTCGGCACCGCAGACCCTGGCGGCAGGCTGTGCCAGGTGTCCCTGGTCCTCCTGGTCCCACCACGACATGGGCTCTGGACCTGTCATGGCTCCAGCAACCAGGACAGTGACCTGGTCCCAGGGTGCCCTCAACAGACCAAGACTCCCTTGTGCCCTGCTCCTGGCCACTCCAACAGCGGGGGGGGGGGGGGGGGGGGGGGGGGGGGGGGGG